AGCCAGTCGTGAGTCGATCCCCATGGGAATGCGTTGCTGTCGACGTCATTGCCCCTTTCCTACGCAGCCCGCGTGGAAACCAGTACCTGTTGGTCGTCAGGGATCACTTTAGCAAGTGGGTTGAGCTATTTTCATCGCGATCGCTGACGTCCAAGAAAATTTGGACTTGTCTCAGGGAAACGTTCACACGCTTCGGATTTCTGGCGAAATTGATTAGCGACAACGCTACTTTGCCAGCAAAGTGTTCCGAGGTTCATATGCCGCACTGGACATAGAACACAAGCGGACGTCTCCCTATTACCCACAGGCAAACATCACAAAGCGGGTGAACCGAAACCTGAAATCGATGTTAATAGCTCACACCAAACGTCACCCTGACTGGGACGCAAAGCTCCCAGAGCTCGCGTTCGCAACACGCACAACCATTAACCGGTCTAGAGGTTTTATATCAGTTTGCCTTAATTTCGGAAAAGAGCTGACTTTCCCGCTGGAAAACACTTGCACGACCAACAACCGTGGCGCTGCTCGCTCATACGGTCAGTTTGCAGGACGTATATGACGCAGACTCAGGGACATCGTTCGTGATGCCCGGGAGAGCTTGGACGCCGCACGGCTTCAGCAGGCTGAGCAGTACAATCATGGCCACCGGGACGTGCAAATTGAAGTTGGAGACCTTGTACTCCGACGGACACACCCAACTGGCGAACAGGTGGGATGGTCCGTATCGAGTGCGAGACAAGGCCTCACACCTCACGTACCCACTCGTTCATTGTGAGTCTGGACGACTCGCTGGACCTGTTCATGTCACCAACCTCAAACGGTATTATGAATCAGATGACGAACTTCTCTCGCAGGTGGAGAGTGATGCCGATCCTGGTAATACTTAATTTTGCGAGGACTCTTTTTGATGTTGGTGACGAGGACGAAGACGAAGATTTAGAAGATGCGCGTTGCAATAGGCTTTGGCAAAAACTAGTTTTCGCACCATACAGATTGTGAGCGTAGTTCTGTGCAATATACACCGACAGTGTGCTCGCAAATTTAGCTAGTCTATTGCCGCGCCCAACGTTACCGACGCTTTCTTGTAGAAGCCGTTCCAGAAGACAGCTGTTGATTCTTATTTTTTTTTCTTTCGTTCTTTTCGAACCTTCGACATGTCCCGCTAACTCCCCAACCGTTGCCGGATGTCCTCTACAACCTCCTCGATGCGCCACGTGGTTCTGGGGCCACCAGAACGCAGTGGGCAGCCGAGGACCCTCTACGCCGCCAGACTCAAGAGCTACGACCACGGCGGGACCTGAGAGAGCCATATCAGCAGCCCTGGCAGCGGCTACGACGACAGCTACGGGGCACAACAATGGAGACCAGGGCCGCTACGAAGGTCCACCGGAGCTTTACGTTGCCAGCCACGGCCCCGGCGGTGCCCACCCGTCCTAAGGCGGCGGACCCGCATCAGGGGTCCCTGCTGCTGTTGTACGGCCTCAACTCTGACAAGATGAACACCGAGAAGCTCTTCAACCTGCTCTGCCTGTACGGCAACATCGTCAAGACCACGTTCCGGAAGAGCAGGAATGGCTGAGCCATCGCGCAGATGGGGGATCAACTTGCCAAGAAGTGAGCACGGCCCTTTAAGCTTCCTGAGGGTACGTCGTCCTTCAAGGACTTCATGGGCAACTGCAATAACCGCATCACCAATCCTGAGGCGGCCTCCAACAACCGCATCCAGCCGCCTATGCATCGTCACAACCCCCTCCTCCTCTACCACCAACAGCCAGAGAGGGAGCCAGAGGACAGAGAAGGGAAGAGGGGGGGGGGGAGGGGAGTTTGTGGGTTTTGCGGCCCATTATCGGGCAAAAGAACCCGTGCTCTGCGTCCGGCGCGCGCCGTGCGCGCGAGACACGCTCCGGGCTCGAAGCTCGGCAGTCCGTTGGCTGCCACCAGGAAGTAAAGGTGCGTTTTTCTGAGATCTGCCTCGTTGGTCCTTATTGCCGGTGAGCTGTAGCACCAAACCCTAAAATATATATATACCGAGCAATTGTACTGGAAACTTTCAAAGCTTACAAAAACCGAATAAGGAAGATACACACTTTTGCGGTCCATATTAAAGCTTCAGCATGGGATGCTTTGTGCTCTGTTATACAGAGATCTTGATTTTATTTCAAACATTTTTTTCTTAAAGGGGTCTGAGTTAGACAGGTGTGGTCCAAGCTTTGTGCCGTTTGTCCTTTTTTTTTCCCGCTACCGGGTTATCATGTCGGTCCTCACCATGTATTTATAAGTTTTGACAGACATTAGATGAGCGAGTAATTTGCATGATAAATAGATTAATTTACTAACCTTTGTTAATTTACTTTATACTTTTTGGTTCTAAGGGTCATCCATGCTAAAACTTAAATGCCATTGCGATGGAAATTTAGTGACACCCAGAGCTATTTATAATACTGGCTTTGAAGATAATTTAGCAACTTATGACTTTGAGCAATCCGTTTTAAAGCGAACGAGACGCGAAAATATTTTTGGTTAAGTTCTGTGAAGAGTGAAATTGTTTATAATGTGACCGTCTTTTCAAGACTTAGTCGGAACAACAAAGTCGCCGCCTGGTTAACACTACCTCAGTGCTATCTCGTGAACAAAAAAAGAAAATCGTAGAAAGTGTGCGCCTACAATAAAGGTAATTTCAAAACCACAGAGACACGATTTCTTTTTTGTTTTGTTTTAATATATGAAGGCTTTTTTTACGGTCCCTTTAGAGTACTGTATAAACGCTTCCTGGGATGTTTTGCAAAAATGCTTGCCCAAAGTAGTTGAACAAATTAGCGGCGAGAAGTTTTGGTGGCGCCCTTCTACGGTTCCCCCTTGTGACGTCATTACCTTGCGAACAACAAGTTCGACGGTGTTTGTAAATAGCATGGTGGAAGCCTGAAATCATTGCTCTCTTAAAGCAACACTGCCAACACCGTCGAAATTAAAGTTGTTTAATTCCTCTCACTTCAGTCGATGGTGTACCCTTTCCGACGTCATAGTCAGCTTTTGGGCCAATCGTGGAAGGCCGACCACAGCGACGCTTTCTGTCGCGCACGTCGCCAATAGGTTCGGGAGAAATATATACGTTCAAAAGTAATACGTGAAAAGGCTTTGATGACTGTGCTGTGAAGAAAAGGTGATGCATCGACGTTGGCGTGGTTTTCTAAAGTATAAAACCCACCTATTCTCTTCTGCTTCATAGCAGATTGAGAATCTAAATATAAATTATAAAAATTTTATTAGCACGGTTAAACGCGAGTGTTTTGAAAGGCCTTCAGCTGGCACAGAACTCAATAGTTGAGCGTTCTTGAAATATAAAGTAGAAAATGCTTCACAGCTCTGCGAAGGCATTGCAGCAAAATTAAGTAGAGCAAACGAAAATATTTTCTCTTAACCCTTGCATCTAACGTCAGAAATTCTGTTGACCCCGGCTCCAGTCAAAAAAGTCAGTCCCATGACACCTTTTGTTTAGGAGAGCTGTCATGGTTAGAGATTAGAAAGGGTGTCATGGATTAAAGAAGCCATAGAGAAATTTGAGCAGATCTTATGTTAAGAAGGCAGTAAAAACCGTCAATTTATGTATCGAGTTTTTAATGTTAGCTTTGTCCCGCTACTTAAATTTTTATTTTTTTATGAATCAATAGTAAAGGTAAACCTGCTATATTGAGGTTTTTAGCGCACAAAGTAGAAAGAAAAAGAATCTATTGAAACTGAAGTACGTGATACCAGCTATCAAACATGGGTCTAAACAAAACGCAGCAAATTATCGCCCCATTTCGCTGAGTCGTAATTGTTGTAAACGTGTGGGAGAACGTTTTGTATAATCTTGTTCTAAAATGCGTATATTCAAAGAGCTACTTTTTGTCCACTCAGCATCGTTTTATAAAGGGTCGCATTTGCGTGACAAAACTCGTTGAACTTACTTTCTCATGGCATAGTTTTAGGTAGTGAGAAGGGAGGTAAAACGCATGGTATATATATATTTTTTTTTTACTTTTGTAAAACCTTAAACAAAGTTGATTTTTAAATACGTTTAAAGTAGATACGGGCGCGCCCATTGTCGCATGATGTATAAAATTAATAATACATTCAGATAAGGGTCGTTGATGCTAGACGTTTGTTGGTCCCTCGTTATGGTCCGGGCTCTCAGTCGTTGAGGTACCCAAGGGGCGATGGAGGCTTGGCCGAGCTCGAGTACAAATTATTTATTGATATGTTAACACTATGCACAAGTTCTATGAAGAAAGCAGAGGAAATTTGAATTTTCTGGACCGATGTCAAACTTGTACGAAACAGGTAAAAATCGCTCTTTCTCACCCCCGTCTCGGACATTTGAAGGCTCCTCCTGGGCCTCAGAGAATCGCCAACCAATTATTTAAAATACGCCGAAGTGCCATTATGTCGACCGTTCAATGAGCGCCAAAGACGGCGCGAACGTTGGTCAAGTTTTCAACGGACACGACGTGACAGATCCGTAGTCCCAACAATCATGGTCGCCGCTAGCCCGGCGCCCCGCCAAAGCACTTGGGTTGCAACCCGATACGTCAGGCAGCAAGATATCCCCTAACAAAACACCAAAAAAACGAAAAAAAAAAACGAAGCAAACGTAATGGGGGACAGGATGCTTTTCCACACGACACTCGCCCCCTCAGAAAATAAGGAAAACAAAATCCAGGGAGCCTAAGACGCACCGCAAAACAAGAGACCTCCCGCACATGGAGAAGCCCAGCAGGTTATCACGAGTCCTTTACACACACCACTCGCAGGAAAACTTAACCTCGAAACAAAATTATGCTACCTCAATGTAAACACATCAGGCGGGACGGTCATGGCGCACTTAATGAGGCTGCGCACGTACCGCCAAGAAGGAAGGAAATCCTTGGCTTCATAAAGCAAGGAGGATCGCATCAAACCGAAAAAAAAACAAGACATAAAACGCTCTTCGTGAACCGAGCTTCGCTCAGTCTGATGTAGACGGAAGTGTTTCGAGTACCGCCAATCTCGAAAGAGACATTTCGCATGTTTTACCGATGGGTGAACTGATGGGGAAAGTTTGTCGAACCGTACTGCTTAGAACAGGCATTCATCTGTTCATCTTGTGCGTGACAGTGTGCTCCGTGGGCTCTTCAAAACCAGTGGAAGCTGAAGATCCCATTGTTCGCACGGATTCTGGGCTCGTCGCTGGTGTACGTATCACAGTCGGCAACCGACTGGTGGACGCTTTTTTGGGAATCCCGTACGCGGGACCACCCGTTGGAGATCTTCGCTTCAGAAAACCTCGTGTACTCAAACCTTGGATCGGAACGTACAACGCTACAAGAAAGCCAACGCCGTGTTGGCAGCAGAACGTTCAATTTACGCGGGACGCAGAATCAGACTACTCCGATTCCTCAGAGGACTGCCTCTACCTCAACGTCTGGCGAAAGACTTCCAACTGTTCAAACTTTGAATCGTGTGACAAGAAACGACCAGTCGTTGTTTTTATTCAAGGAGGAGCCTTCCAGTGGGGCGACTCAGCTTTGTTTTTTTACGATGCGGCAAACTTCGTGTCTCTGACAGACGTTGTCTACGTAAGTTTCAACTATCGCCTAGGATTTTTCGGTTTTTTGTCGCTGGAGACTTCAGAACTGCCTGGTAACATGGGACTTTGGGACCAGAATTTGGTGCTTAAATGGGTTCAAAGAAATATTGAACACTTTGGGGGTGATCGAGATGACGTCACGATTAAGGGTCAAAGCGCGGGGGGAGTATCTGCGGGAATGCACGCTGTGTCTCCTCATAGTAAGGGCCTTTTCAAACGGATCATCATGGAAAGCGGCGCACCACTCTCCATATTCTTCAAATTAACTTACAAAGGTACTGGAAAATTTTCTGCGGTGGCAAGTGCTCTTGGATGTTATAACGTAAACAAGTCCCTGGAAGACCAACGTAGAGATGTGACTGAGTGCTTAAGAAAACTGGACGCAGCGTTCATCTACAAAACCTTGAAGTCACTGGACCTCTATCAACAATTTTTTGGTCCAGTACTCGGAGGTGACTTTCTACCTTACCACCCACTTATGGAAGAAACCTGGAAACACCTTGATTTCAAAGAGCTTCTTATTGGAACCACTCTGAACGAAGGGACATTGTTTTTCGATAATCTTCAATACACGTTCCCGGCACTTGAACCCCTGTTGGAAGGAGACTATCGTCTTGCGGTCACAGTTGCGCTGGCAGCTGCCTTTGACATTCCGGTTTCACGTGCACGAGAGATTGTTCGTTCTTACTTCGGTGATTACGATGTCGTGCATGACAGCCGAAGCGTCGGAGATATAATTAGCAGAATTTTCGGAGATGTTGTTTTTAACTGTCCGACCAAGCTGTTCGCCGACCTCGCTTCGCAGCAAGGAATAAGCACCTACAGATACATGTTTGCGCATCGGCCGAGTTTTACTGTGTGGCCAGAATGGATGGGCGTTGTGCACGGAGACGATCTGCTGTTCACATCTGGATCCTTGCCGTTTTTGAAAGACAAAACTTATCACACGAAAGAACTAGGAGAGTACTTAAGGAAAAAATTCTCAAATGCAACGTACACGGCAGAAGAAGGGACCTTCATGACGCAGCTCGTAAGTGCCTGGAACTCTTTCATAAGGAACGGGTAAGTGCTTCATGTCTGCGTCATTACTGAACTACAGCGTGCACACGAATCCGGATGAAACCTCTAAAGTGACCGCATAAATAGGCTTCATTACGTACTACAGAGGTGCCCGCAGGTGGTGGAAACATCGCATGAAATTTTCAAAGAACAAACTTACCTATGGCGCCCGTCTGCTTTCCACGCACCCTCTGACAGGCGCAATAACCGACACATTGGCGGCAGCGGCCCCGGCGCAACCTTATGGTCCGTTGGCGCCAAAAGCAGATGTCAGATAGCGCAAATTACTCAACGAACCATCGGTTTTATTTGTTTTTTTCCAGTTAATCTGGTTTATTGAGCGCGTTCTGTTTCTTTATTATAAACATCGTCTGCTTTTAACGCCACCGGGCGGTAAGCCTGCTCAGAGACCTCTCCCGCAATCTGTCGGTTGTTGCGCCAGTCAAAGGGTGTGTGGGTAAAAATTATCGTTCAATTTTTTATGCTTCTTAACCAGGTACGTATATTGTTTAAAATTTAGTGCAATGCTTCCACCACATTCGGTCACCTCTATGGTAATTCGTAGCGCGATACGCCACCATGCGGTGCCCGATTTATACGCGATACGTTACCAGGCCAATTTATGCGGTCACTTTAAACGCTTCATGCGGATTGGTGGGCACGCTGTAGTTAGTAGTTTCTTTTAACGCCGGTCAGTTTTCTTCATGATGTCTTATAAACTATGTTGATTTGGTGGCTTCTAGGTTGACGCTTAGACCTTCCTTCTAAGTTTTCTGTTTACTACGGCTGATGAAGTGCGTCTTACCATAAATTACAAAAATTGTAATTTATGGTAAGACGGGTGGAAGACATCATAGTTTATATGTAATTCGGGATTCTAGAGAAAGTGCTAAGCGAAATGTTTTTCAATAATTATTAAGCAATCATAAGTTTGTACACTATAATATTTACAATATTGTGACTTCGTGTCAATTCGTCATCCAGGTCTCTATAAAGGGACCATGCAACGATATCTGCTTAGAATGCTTCTCACCTTACACAAGCTAACTACCACTAGTGTGGCCCAAGCGTTCTCACGGGCACCCGACTCGTAGGATGGCACGACGCACTGGTTCAACAACACGTAGCCATTTATTCACCGTAGTCTACCGCGCCGCGATCATACGCTGCACATACGCTGCGACGACGCCCTTTTATCAGCGGCGGAGCGCCGCTCGCGTGGCCAGTTGCCCTTGGCTCCCTCGCGGAGGAAATGACCTCCGACGATTTGGCAGATGGGCAACCTGGACCAACGCTTTGGATCCCCAGGTTGCCCACAGCCGTTACGCCATAAAAGGAGTTGCCGGAATCTCCGCTCTCGCGCATCGTCAGCGCCTGTCGAAGCTATGAACACGCACTCTTACTATTCTCAGAAAAATGAGAATAAGACGTCACGACTGGTGTCAGCGCAGGGGAATATACCTGGCAAGATTGCAATTGCACGCGCTGCTCAAACGAGCGACACGCGCTTGGCGACTGAAATATATTTTTTGTGACCTAACGACTGCACGGAGGTTTTCCGTGCATTTTCGAGTTTAGATACTTCGTTCGGGGATAACGAATGTAATATGCAAGTTCACGGTGATAAAAATACTGCAAAATTCACCTCTAACTCGTTTTTTTTAAATTACCTCTGTAATTTTCTCCTTTCAGGATTGAAGTAGGCGAAAGGAATTCCGCGAAATAAATCCCAAAATAAAAATATACTCGTCTTGATCGTCTTAATAAGCCTGGGAAACACACAACGCGTCGAGCGGGGATCGTACGTAAGTACGTTATTATGACTTGCAATACTTGGTTACTGGATGCTTTTGCTTAATTCGGATCCGTTGCAGGCACGACACACTCATAGGTTCCCTGGGTTTATAAAAACGATAAACACAACTTTAGAGATGTTTTATAGAGCGCAGCTCTTATGCGCCTGTTTCCGGCATGAGCGGCGTCGGCATAACCGCGGGGTGCATTACAGGAAACGTCCCATATTACACAACGGTGACGTTTAGGCACCACGCCGAAATGTCGTGCGACATTTCGGCGCGAGTGACGTCACCGTGTCGAAACGTCACCGTGACGTTTAGGTGGAAGTCACGTTCCGAAACGTCACCGTGACTCCAACCGAAACGTCACGTGAGGTTTCGGCCCCGCGCCAGAACGACGCGTGACGACGCGCGTTTCGCGCGTAAAAGAAGAAGGAGGAGGGGAGGAGGAGAGGGCATGGATGAGGAGGAGGGGTATACTCTTCCCTCCTCCTCCTCCTCCTCAAGAGCCACGCTCTAAATCAGCGTTACAAGAAGTTGTAAACGTGTTTCATTATTTTTTTACCTTTAGTTAGTGGTGTCGTGACATCATGTAGGGAGCTGCGCGTTATCATGCGATTACAAGCCCAGCGAGCCTACGGTCGCCCGCTACCGCTGGCTCCGCTGAGTCATATTTAGTTCAGCTAATTTCGTTCCTATCCGCCTCCCCTTCGCAGCGCCGTTGGTACCAAGCATGGGCGTCGGTCTGCGGATCGCACTGCCCGGTTTTTGATTCCCGATGCACCGCCTGGAAAATCTAGAAAATTACAATTACTTATGGTTATTCATGATTAGATACGAGTAAGTGTGTTTTCAATGTTGAATTTGTTTGGTATACTTCAACTTTACAATGTTAAGCAACCCGATACTGAGGGATGCGAAAGTTGACGCCGAGACTCTTGGTGTCTACTTGTCACCACTTTTGGTGTCAACTTTCGCGTTCCTCAGTCTCGAATTGTTTCAAAGGTGCGCACTATAAATGCATTTCGTTTGTGTAAAACCAGGCATAACATGAGACATAGATTGGGGTAGCGGTCGCCGTGCTTAGGCATCTCCATCGCAGTTTACTATACTACTAAAAAGTATTCTTGTGAAACTAAATGTATGCTTCCGTATTGTATTATCCATGCAGAAAGCCAGTAATCCCAGGTTCTGGCATTGACTGGCCGTTGTACAAGGCGGAAAGTTCTGAGCTGACGTACCTTCGCCCCGGCAACTATACAATTGCACAAGACCCATCGAGGAATATTTGCGAGCTGTGGAGGCCATTCCTACTGAAGAAGTGAGTTGCCGTTTTTTTAGCCATATGCTTCAGCTTTTATGCCAGTTAATTACTTTCCAGCTCCTCTATAATTAACGTTGTTCTTTTTGTTTCTCAAGTGCAAAAAATACCTTAGGGTAAATGATTTTTTTTTGTGATTTGCTGAGAGCCAGTTGTTTCTAACTTTTAATAAAACCACTAAGGAGACTGGTATTGTAGTTTCTCCCTTGAACTATTATCCCTACTAGCATTTGCTCATTAGGTGTTCGTTAATCAGTTCGGCGTTTTTGCTTTTTCCATATTTTCGATTCCCTTAAGTTAGCAGAAAGTTACATAGATTTTTATATCTTATTAACGTTATCACTAATAATTACGTATTTATTGAGAAATGAATATCTTAATTTTTGTAGAAGCAGCATTTTTAAACAAGGACACCTGCGAGTTCAAATCCCCCTTTCTCGGCTTTAGCATAGTCTCGTTTTACCCGTATGCTTTGTGCATCTTACGTTCTGTAGGTGAGTAACACAGATTTGCTCTGTTGGAGCAATTGATAAATTACTCTTGCGCAGTTGACGCATACGTCTTTTTTCGCGAAATTTTTACTTCTCTTTAGCTGACCGTGCCTACTTCTTGTGTCTGATTAGGTACTCCATCCTTTACTTCCAGGGAAATTTCATGACTCCGCCTCCGCAGACTTCTTCATTCTCCAAGACGGGGTAAACAAAAACTCCACAAAATCCTCAAATAAGTAATTCGCTGGAGCCCCAGGAAAAGGTTTTGAATTCTTCATCATCGAGAAAGCTTCACATCTTTCCACTTGGTTTTTCGGCAATATACTCTTTGGCATCTAATTTCAGATGCTAAACTACAAACGTCTTATTGACGACTTTTTTTAAAAAAATATCGACTCTTCTGTTATATCTTAAGAGTTCACTCAGATGTTGACGGTTCGAATACAATAACTGATGTCGAAGAAAAAAGCTTCGTATTCTACAGTTATTTGTGTTTTGCTTTAATATCAACAAAAATATTTATTCAATACAGGCTATACGGCTCAAGTTCAGAGCATATGATATCAAAACTCTCTGTTAATATGTGTAACTCCTCCTTTAGTGTCGAACAAAACGTTTTGACATCCCATATGGAAAATACCGAAGAGAGGTTTCCTTTCTAACACAGAAGTTAAGAAATGTTGGTTCAAAACTAGTTTTTATACTCATACCATAAGTTGACGTCAGCAACCATCAAATCCCAGCTATTTGATTACTATTATGAACGGGTTATTTTTTTAATATTGTTAGCGATTAGGTTGAACCAATTACGATGAGGTTCGATTAAACTGTTTATTTAATTAAAACTTTGAGGAATACACAAATGGGCGATTATATAAGGGTTACAGTTCTAGAGCGGTGCTGCGTCTCGCTCGGCGTCGTCCGATGGAATGCACTTCTCCGTGGGCGAGGGCGGTCGCCTCCGAAGCTGTTGCTTGCGAGCACGCACGCGGGGCTCGGGTTTCACGGCAGAGAGGCCCCGTCTTGGGGGCCCGGGTATTTTCCAGGGACCGTATAGCAACTTCTGTCTGGGAGCAGCCGGGGTCGAAGGCCACTTACGAGCTTTTGCATTCTTTTCTGATTTAAATCTCTTGATCGTTAACACTCGGCCTTCCTACTGCACAACCGCCCCCGGTTGGAGTCTTGTCGGAATATGTCCCCGAAATGAGCCTCCGAATCTCAAGTCGCATTTTGCGTGTCTTCTTCGCACTCCGAGTCCGGCGACTGGTTGTCGTCGCTGCCCTCGTCACAGGGAACGAAACGCTTCATCTTGTCAACAGCTGCTATTCCGTCGTAGAAACGCTGTGAGCGTTGAGTCTCGGGGAGGTCCTGCACTCTGTACCTGTCGTGGGGCAACTTCTCCACAACAATGTACGGGCCTCTATATTTTGGACGCAGTTTCCGTGACTCTCCCGTTGCGACTGGCTCTCGTTCGAGTAACACCATATCTCCTGGTTTGTAGACAGGCGCAGTTACTCTTTTCTTGTTGTAATTTTCTCTCTGCTTTTCTTGGTCTTGGCGTATGTTCTCTATTGCCTTTTCCCGGAGCTTGAGTACAGTAGAGTTGAGCTCGTGCGCGAGCGCGCTGTCGACTTCATCGCCTGTTACGTTTCGGGGGCAAAAGTTGAAAAGCAGACTGAAGGGCGTCGCTTTGGTCGCTCGGTTCAGCGTGTTGTTGATACCCCACTGGACCTGGGTCAGGGTTTCGTCCCAGTCCTTTCCATCGCTCCGTTTTGAAAGGCTGGCAATGGCGGGTGTTATCATTCTGTTATATCTCTCGACCTGCCCGTTAGCTCGGGGCGTGCAGGTTGCATTTTTCACGTGGATGACATTGACAGACTTGCAGTACTGTACGAACTGTCGGCTGGTGTACGCGGTTCCCTGGTCGGTGACCAATCTTCGCGGCGCACCAAAAGTGGCGACCAGGTCCTTGAGGAAATTCCTCGCGTAGCCCGACGAAGTGTTCCTCACTGCTCGAAGGATGACGAACTTCGTAAAGCCGTCTACTGCCACAATGATGTGCGTGTTGCCGCTCGTGCTGCGGACGAATGGGCCTAAATGGTCCATGTGGAGAGTGTCAAATGGTACGGCCGCTTTTTCGATGCTGTGTAGCTTGCCTGGTTTTTTTCCGGACGGAACTTTGTGATACAAGCACTCGAGACAGCACGCAAGATGCCGTCTCACGTACCGACGCATCCTGGGAAACCAGTACATCTTGGTGAGCAAAGCCATGGTCTTGTCGAGAGCGAAGTGTCCTACATCGTCGTGGCATCGTCGCACAATCTGCCAGCGAGCTCCTCGTGGCACTACCCATAGTAGGCGCTCTTCTCCGTCATCGATGACTCTCTTGAAAAGCTTTCCTTCTGAGAGTGCGTACTCCTTCTCGATACGCTGCGACTCCTTCGTCTTTGAGGGCTTCTTTAGGCTTTCCCTGATTCCCAGCAACGTTGGATCTGGAGCTAACACCAACCAATCGTCGTCGGATAGCTCTGTAGCAAAAACACTGGCGCCGATTGCGACGTCCATTACTTCAGGCTCCGACACAGGAGCCCTGCTGAGAGCGTCGACGTGGGCCATCTTATCTCCCGGTCGATGTTCCACTTCGAACGTGTAGTCCTGTAGCCGCAGATACCACCTTCCTATACGTGGCACTAGGTCTCTCTTCGACAGAGTGGTTCGCAAGGAGTTGCAATCCGTGACGAGAGTGAACTCGATCCCATACAAGTACGGCCGAAGCTTCTCAACTGTCCACACAACTGCCAATGCTTCGAGTTCGTAAGAGTGATATCGTTCCTCGTCTTGCGTCGTGCGGCGGCTGACGTACATAACAGGGTGCATCAACCCGTCCGCTTGTTCCTGTAACAGTACTCCTCCGAGTCCAAACTTGCAAGCGTCTGTGTGCACCTCCGTTTTTGCACCGTGAACGTAGAGTGCCAACGTAGGCTCACTCATTAGGCAGCCCTGCAGCCTCCGGAACGCAGCCTCCTGATCGGTCGTCCAGTGCCATTCCTCTCCTTTACGAAGCAGCGTGGTGAGTGGCTTTGATATCGTGGCAAATCCAGCCACAAAGCGTCGGAAATAGCTGCACAAACCGAGGAATCGTCGGAGATCATGGACGTTTGTCGGCACTGGGAAATCAGAGATGCCCTTTAACTTGAGGCTGTTGGGTTTGATGCTTGAAGCCGAAATCTCGTATCCCAAATAGGTGATTTTCTCTTGAAAGAAACAACACTTCTTTAGGCGCAGCGTGAGACCAGCGGTCCTCAGAAGCTCGAGAACCTCACGTAGAATAGCCAGCCCCTCCTCAAATGTACCCGAGGGGATCAACAGGTCGTCCATGTAGGCCATGACCTTCGTGTTCCGGAGGGAGCCGAACACAGTGTTGATCATGCGCTGGAACACGCTCGGTGCATTGACCAAGCCAAAAGGCATGCGGGTGAATTCGTAGTGTCCGTCCGGGGTGACAAACCCGGTCTTCTTTCGGCTTTCCTTGGAGAGGGGCACCTGATAGTAGCCAGATGCGAGATCGAGGCTAGTGAACAACCGTTTGTCGTGGAGCCTGTCAAGCTGGTCTTCAATCAGCGGGAGCGGATATCTGTCCTTCTTGGTAATTTTGTTGAGGGCTCGGAAGTCGACACATAGCCGCTTCTCTCCTGTCTTCTTCGCCACCAGTAGGATAGGGCTTGCGAAGTCTGAGCTTGAATCTTGGACAACACCTGCCTCCTTGAGTTCCTCGATCATGCTTCGAACAGTCTCTCTCTCGGAGTGCGCAAGACGATAAGGCCTATACGTTACAGGCGTGTCATTCGTGAGCTCAATTTTTATCTCGGCTACATCAGTGCTCCCGATTTCAGACAAAGAAGTGGCAAAGCACTCACGGTATTCGTTGATCAGACCGACGAGTTTATCCCGTTGTGCTGGAGTCACGGATTCGCCCATATTGAGGTCCGTCGCCTCAATCAGCTTGTAGTGTTGCTTTTCGTCACAGCGCACACTCTTTTCCGCTGGGGTACGCTCCTCGTTGCACCACTCGGCTCGAACGACTCGTTCTCCTTCTTTAAACGTAATCTCGTGATCTGCCACGTTCGCCACTGGCAGGACGTATTCTTCGTTGCAGTTCCTCTTCAGAACACAACTCATGATCCCGTGGTCCTGATCCAGTCTTCCACAGTGTCGTCGGTCAACGAAGATGTCTCCTCCTGACTCCTCGCTCGTATAGAGGATTACAAAGCCCACATAATTCGGAGGAATTACCGCAGCCTCTTTGGCCCAGAGGCTCACTCGGCGTGGCGCAAGATCAGGGATTTGGATGTTTCGCAGGGTTCCATCTTCCTCTCCCGATTCCTCGCGCTCCTCAAAAATGCGGAGAGTGTCTTTTCTACGAATGATCGTGACGTGCGACTGTTCCGTGAACGGCTGGCCAATGAGTAGCGGAATCACCTGGACGTCGTCAGGAACGATGTATACGTCGACG